CTTTCCTTGAAAGCATCCACAGAGATAAAATTGCCTGCAGAATCCAATCTAGGCCAAAGAGAACATGGCTTCCCCATTTGAACAGCGGAGCTTTCATCCCAATGGCTGACGCTTCACAAAGCATTGGCCAACACAGCCTTGAAGCTCATTAAGTGAATCTTCACCCAGCAGAGGGAATCCACCATATTTCATGCAAAGAGAGAGAGAAACAGTACCCACACTGATGTTATATTTCACGCCTAATAACAAACAAAGTTAATATAGCGAGGCACATCACATAGAATGCTGACAAAGAGCTGACAGGTCAAGCACTAAGAAAAACAGCTAGACGGCTAGGAATCTGGTTTAAATGTCACCATTAACACTTTGACAAATATCTGCTGTCACTTTTCATACAACGAGGTTTGGCTACAAGGCCTGAGCAGGGCTTGAAGAGGATGAGTTATGCCTGACCCAGTTTTCTGAAACACCCTCCTGACTCCTCATGAATAGAGACGGAAAAGAATAGGGAATCCAAAAACACCCACACACAAGCATCTTTTTCCCCAGCCTGCTTTAGATCCTTTCGACTTACTAGGTTACAAAATGAACAGCTTGTGGAACACAAATACAATGAGGTTTAGGGGGTTCATCAAGGGAAGATGTGAAGCAGTAGAGATGACAGGGGAAGAGATAAGGGCCTAGGCAGGCAGCTGGAGAAGCTATTGGAAGACATGGTCAACCTTACTATTGTGTATCAAGATGGTGAAACTGTTTGGTGCTTACTACATTGTTCCAGAATCAAGGGCATTTCAAAAAGTGTGCACTGCTGCAGTGCAATTGCCACATTGCCATATGTCAAATTGCTAAAGCTCCAAATAAATTTATTTACTGGTCAGAATTTTATATTGCGCTTCCACAAACAATCACTCTTAGGACAGTTTACAAAAGTTAAAAATAAAATCAGCAGAACCATAAAACAAATATATTTTTGGAAACTCGCTTGGGCCACAGTTGCACTGCATCATAGGTTTTGTTACAGATATGGCACGACTATAAATGCAATGATACAACACAATTCCGAGCAAAGAATGTATGTGCAACAGTATCCATAGCTACCTTATAACAACAGAAAGCCTGGTAATACGAATGTTTGTTTGACATCATAAGTACTAGGGATAGAATGGTCTGTAACAAGATAATGGCTCTCATTATTCCAGATCCACTCTATTAAAATGGTATAACCACTTGGTTAATAAGGATTAAAAAATATAAAATAAAACAAACGCAGGCGTGCCAAACTGGGGCGCTTTGATTGTAGCTGTAAAGCCAGGATATTAATAGATAGCCACTCCACCAATTTGGCAGAATGGGAGATGCAATTAAGTTTTTCTGGTGTTGTGTGTGTGGTTTCTTTTGGCTGGAGGTCATATAGGAGAGGTGATGTGGAGTCTCTACCCAAGGTGTGAATCACTGTTTGAGGAGCTGAAGACCTCATTAACTTGTTCTCATAAATGCTTGGCACTTCAAAAGCACCTCAGATGCCTTCCAAATTATGCCAAGTCAGAGTCATTACCTCAGTCTTGAAGCTGACATAGCAAGGGCCTGGGGCCAGAGAGACAGTAAATGCTTTTTCAATCTCTCTCTCTCTCTCTCTCTCTCTCTCTCTCTAAGGTAAAGGGACCCCTGAAAATTAAGTCCAGTCGCAAACGACTCTGGGTTTGTGGCGCTCATCTCGCTTTACAGGCCGAGGGAGCCGGCATTTGTCCACTTCCACAGACAGTTTTTCCGGGTCATGTGGCCAGCATCACTAAGTTGCTTCTGGTGAAACCAGAGCAGCGCACGGAAACGCCATTTACCTTCCCGCCGGAGCGGTACCTATTTATCTACTTGTACTGCGTGCTTTCAAACTGCTAGGTTGGCAGGAGCTGGGACTGAACAATGGGAGCTCACCCCATCACGAGGATTCGAACTGCCGACCTTTCGATCAGCAAGCCCAAGAGGCACAGTGGTTTAACCCACAGCGCCACCCGCATCCCTATGTATTGATATACTTAGCCCTGATTATAAAATATATACACTAGTTGTTTTCAAGCTTTTAGTCTTCCCTGGATCTTTTTCAGCTGGCAAGAAATCCCTGTATGTCTGCCATGAAACATGCAGTTCACATGGGAATGTTGACCAGGCCTACTGGGCCTCCAAAATCACCATGCATCATTGAGAGTTGAAATTCTCTCCTATGCCCATGCATTACAGGGTAAGATGGGATGTTTTTCAGGGAAGCTTATCTGCCATTAATAATGTTCCTACTGACAAGTTTCTGAGGAATCCCGTGGATCACTGGAAAAGTTTGAAAGCCACTAGTATACACAGCGCAAAGCTCCAGGAAAGCCTCAAAGAATCCACACAGAAGGATCTACTCGGATGAATTCTACTGCACTTACAAACCTATTTCACAAGCACAGGGGCTTCCTCGATCCTCCCCGCCTCCAAGGACAGCCAGCGGGATTGCTGCACAGCTTCTGAGATTCAGAATATTTTTTTTCTTGTTTTCCTCCTCCAAAAACTAGGTGCGTCTTGTGGACTGGTGCGTCTTATAGAGCGAAAAATAAGGTATACTCCGCCCACGCTGGCAGACTTACAGGATATCTAAAATCGATAGTTTATTGTTTGGGTGGTTTTATTATTATTTTTTAAGAAAAGAGAATGATTGAGTGTGAAACACCTAGTAATTCTTCAATGGTTTTAATTTGAAAATGCATCAGATAAAAAATAAACGCATTGAAACAAATGAATGGTATTTTATTTTTAAACCTACTTTTTAAAAACACCAAACAGCAGTTTTTGGTTACAAGTACAGGATGGGTCATCTGTCAACTAGTTGAATAGCTTCAAGCTTTCATAAAGATTCTCCTATTCAGAGAACAATTAAACAGACCAAAATAAATCCCGGTATGTGAAAGAGTCATGATTAAAAAAAAAAAGGCACTCTTAGATCTGTGGTTAAACAGAAATGTAGTAAAAATTAACTAAGTACAGTCTTTCAGCCTTACTCATTGGAGGGTTTGGGAACACACACAAAGGCAAGAGTCACTGACTCACTCTCTCTCTCTCTCTTGCACACAAACACAATGAATGCACATGACCTGTGTCCAAGAAACCCGAAGTAGCTATCTACAGCCCAGAACTGCCTCTGGAAACAGCCAGAAAACTATCAGCTAAAAAGATAAGAAAAGGTTTGTGGGGAGGCTGGGGGAGAGAAGTAACATTTTCTGATTAAAGCTATCAGGCAGATGGTCCTGCTTCCATTCCTGTCCCAATAAAACAGCAGTAGCAGCAAAGTTATACGTCTGCCTGAGAACAAGGAGGCACAGAATTTCCCAAGGAGGCAGACAGGCAAATGCCAGGACAGCTGCTTGGGGCAGATGGATCTTTTGACAGCTCCATAATGCTGCTGTCGGTGAATTTAAACTCTGGCTAGAGCAGCCAAATCAGCCACCATCTGTTTGTGAGTGTGCACAAAGGATTTGGGAGCAGCAGGTAGCCTAAGAAAACTAGCAGCAAGACCAGCCACCTTTAGATCCTTGGGACTCGGGCGGCTTACATGCTTACTGCATGCAACACACATTTTTGTAGAGCACGGCCACAACTTGCTGCTACTCTTGGAATTCCATGGTTATCTAGTCAGGATGAGAGGAACATTGTCTCCAGCCTACAACAACTTCAGAAGCATTCTACTGCTAGATAAAGAGGAGGGTCTCTAGATGGTAGGCACCTTGAGAGAAAATGGAGATCCCAGAGAAGACAATTGCACAGCCACTATCAGGCAGCAACATGCCATGAATGGACCTTTATTTTGAGGTCATAAGTGTGTTACGTTCAGAATTTTGCTTTTAGTTGCGCAGGACATGCATCGTTTGGTTTTGGGGGTTTTTAAGTCATCGTGTACGCTCAGGAACTAAAGAAACTTAGATCCCTGGAATGCCAGAATATGGTACAGTGGTACCTCGAATTACAGACGCTTCAGGTTACAGACTCTGCTAACCCGGAAGTAGTACCTCAGGTTAAGAACTTTGCTTCAGGATGAGAACAGAAATCGTGCGGCAGCAGCCGGAGGCCCCATTAGCTAAAGTGGTACCTCAGGTTAAGACAGTTTCAGGTTAAGAACGGACCTCCAGAACGAATCAAGTTCTTAACCTGATTCCCAAATGTCTCCGTTGTTGTACGTTTCAGTTCTTGAACACCGAAAACCCGGAAGTAAATGCTTTCATTTTCAACGTTTTTTGGAACCCGAACGTGCGACACAGCTTCCGCTGAGTGCACAAAGCTCTTGTAACCAATGGGAAGTCGCACCTAGATTTTTGAATGTTTCGAAAGCCGAATGGGCTTCCGGAATGGATTCTGTTCGAGAACTGAGGTACCACTGTATACAGCAACTGCAAGATTGTGGAACAGGTTTCCAAACCAAACTTATCTATAGCCAACCACGCAGGCATTTAGAAAGGTTTGTCCCATAAAATATTTTCACATCCTCTAATCTGCTTGCGTTTCATTTAAGTGGACTAGTTCAGACATTAACGATCTCCACGAAATAAAATCATGGTTTATTAAGCTGAGAACAAGCACTGTGCCTGGGTACTCCCCTCTTTTTTCCTGCCCTCCCACAGTGGAGTGACTGTTTCTATAGTGGTTTGTTAAACCATGGTTTCCTAATACAACCAGATCTCAGTTAATCCTGGTTTACTAATAAGGTTATGAAGCCAGGACTATAAAATGGTTAGTAAACTAAAATTAATCCATCTCAGTTTCACATGTAACAGGAAATTGTGGGTTGCCATGATTGAAGCATCAAAGCCAGCATATGAGAGAAGGAAAGGCGGATGCAGCCTGCATTAATAAACAATGGTTTGCTGAACTGAGATTACGACACCTGAACTGCCCTTCAACATTACTTTCATGGCTGAATTATTTGTGATGGTTTATGTAATGATTTCAGGGTGCTTTTTATATGTAATGTATAGATAAAATAACAAATTGAAAATGAAATGTATATTTTAAAGGGGTAGTTAGGGTCTTTTCTGGCTTGTTTGGAGGTTCTAGCAGGGGAGCGCAGCTATCGTATACCCTTGACCGAAGAACGGTACACTCCTTCTATCTGGGATGGTCGTCCTCTTCCACCGAGCGCGCAGCTTCGGGAGGGATTGCAAAAAATTGGAAAAGTGGTAGTATACCGACAAAAATAGAGTGGCTTGCCAAATTATTGGAGTACTACAATATATCCAAAACAATGGGAGAAATTGGAAGATCTCAAAAGAGAAGATAGACAGGGACTGGAAGGTGTTTAAAGGATACTTGCAAAGCCATATTGAAAAATCAGAACTCCTATTAGAATAAACAAGTTCCGTTTTAAATACTGAAATACTAAATAAGATGGATAACAATGTGTAATAGGAAAAGAAGCATGAAATTAGGTTAAAGGTGTGTGAAAGAAAGTAATAGAAGTGGAAAGAAATTGCAATTGAGTAGATTGGAAGTCTAACACAAAGGTGGGGTGAGGGGCGGTGGATGGTGATGGGAAAAGGAATTATCTGTGGGATTGAGTGTAGGTATGTTTGAACATTTTAAAGGATTGTATGAAATGTATGTTTGTATGACTGTATATTCGCAATATGTGTGTATCAATGCTGAATTATTTGAACAATAAAAACTTTTAAAAAAAAGGAAAAAAATTGTCTTTTCTGGCAAGCTGCTTTGCCTCACATACTCTTGCAGACAAGGCCCTGTCATTAGCAAGGATTTGGCTGCCTCCTTTACCGGCATCCTTTGTCAGCAGAAATCAACTTTCCTACAGCATACAAATGCTTAAGTGACAGATAAATCTGACATTAGCAAGTTTTCAATGGCTGTTTCGAGTGGAAGTGTTCTGCACTTCTGCAGAGAGCCATTTCCTCAGGAGGATGCTTGCTCATTAACATTAAGGGGAAACTATAAACCTTGCCATGTCTCTATATCTGTCTTGAAAGAGACTCTGGCATTATGCATATTCCTCTTCAGCAACATCTCCAGTGTTTCTTCTCAAATAGAGAGGAAACCTTGCTGAAATGGGGGGTGGGAATAATCCTGAAGCTTACACTTGTTTAACAGACTGCAAAATAAATTATTTGAGTCGGAGCTCATTTGGTAGCCATACTGTTCTTGAGGGCAGCATTTAATGGAGGAGAAGGAAGCAATCCAAGCTTAAAATTAAGAAAGAAAGAAAGAAAGAAAGAAAGAAAGAAAGAAAGAGAGGGAGGCAGATTTTGCGGTTTTTAAGCTGAAGGGTTGGACAATGTTAGAACTAGATTTTAAAAAGCAGTTCCAAAAATTGAGCAGCGGATGTTGTGAATGAATCTCATTGGAGTCCAAGCGGCAAGGACATCTAACACACTAAAGTAAGAGATGTAAAACCTGTGGACTTCCAGCTGCTGCTGCTGCACTACAGCTACCATAATTCTTGTCCACTGGCCACACTGGCTGATGTTGATGGGAGTTGGTGTCCAATCACATATGCAGAGCCTTGAGATCTCCACTCCTGCATTAAAGGCACCCTCAAGGTTGCTCTGGGCCAATATGAAAAGAAGCAGAGTAAATAAGAAGTACTAATACTCAGCATTCAGATACAGTGGAACCTTGGTTCTCAAACTTAATCCGCTCCGGAAGTCCGTTTAACTCCCGAAACCGTTCGAAAACCAAGGTGTGGCTTCCGATTGGCTGCAGGAGCTTCATGCACTCAAGCGGAAGCCACGTTGGATGTTCGGCTTCCGAAAAATGTTCAAAAACCAGAACTCTTACTTCCGGGTTTTTGGCATTCGGGAGCCAATTTGCTCATCGACTAAGCCGTTCGAGAACCAAGATATGACTGTATTATGTGCAGTGCAACCCAAAGCATGTTTGCGGATGGAAAACACCTACTGTGTTGAATCTGGCTTGCTTTTAGGAAGTGCTTCATTATTATTATTTTGGTAAAATGAGCCCATATCTTGCTAAGAGCGCTGTGAGTTCCAGCATAGAATGGTTGCCAAAGACAGAGGGGGAGAGGTGACAGTACTCTGTAATGGTGAGTACCATCACAAAGAAAGCACTGCTTCTAGGGAGTGCGAAAAGCCTTCCTTCTTGAAGTGCTACACATCTGAGGATCTTGTGAACCTGACAGCTCTGCCAGTCAACTGACACCAGTTATTTCCCCCATTCTGCAGTTGCTGGGCCTGAGGTTAACACACAGTGACTTCCTTAAGATCGCAGCGAGCTCACGGCTAAGGTGAAATTTGAAGCAGGGATCCTGGCTGCCACTCTTAACCACAACGCAAAACCAGCTCTGTTTACAAGAACATAGCATTTGTTTGCTGAGCACAAAAGCTCCACTATTTTTTGGGAGCACGGGAGTGAGGGTGGGATTTCTCAAAGTACTTTTGATGAGAATGATGAAAAACACCACCACAATGTTTGTGTAAATCTGATGTTAAATGAGAGTAGTCCTTAGGCCGGGGAATATCTCCATTTGCAGACCAGAAAACTACACCCACAAGCCACAACATCCACAGCTGGTGAATGTTTCGTATTTCAAGTCATTCTGAAATGGCTGCTGTCTGCTTCTGTCCTCCCTCTGCCTTCAATTGCTTCACCCATTTCCTTTTCCTGTACCTTCAGCACCAACCCTTCCAGTTTCATCTCCTTGCATACTGGCTGTTTAGTGACCCAAGACTAGGCTCACCTGAAACAGCTTCAGCTGACTCAGCTAGTCTGACGTGTGCAGGTGGCTCATGTTATTCCGTGTGTCACTTGTTTATGAAAAAGCCAGGTGGACTGGCCCCATTTTACAGAGGTTAAAGAAAAGGAAAAACAAACAGGCAAGGGGAGAGGCATGTGTACACTGCATTGGAGAAATGAGGAAAATATTGCATGAAAGTGTCTGGCAAGTCTCATTTGTTTTGACTGGTATAGTTGGGAGATCTTTGTATGCACAGCATAGTGAGCCAACAGCAGAGGGACCGTCTGCTAGGCACAAATATTCTGTGCCAACATGTAACCTGCTCCCCAGTCCTTTCTGCACCTTGACCTGCAACACAGGAGTTGTCAAAAGTTTGCCCGTCACTCACAAACCATTTGTATGCACCAGGGACTTCACCCCACAAAAGGTAGCAGGATAATCCTTGTGAGTACTGGTGAGTTACACAGCATATGATTGTGTTTCCCAAAGCAACAAAAGGTGCTTAGTTTCCCTTTTCTTTTAATGCTCTCTTGATTTCTTACGTTTATACATCAGCTGTAATTTGGTCATGTCCTAAACAATAATGTCCAAGGATTCCATTTGATAAGCGGTTACTATTTGCGAATCTAGCCATAGCACCTCTAATCTCTTCATGACATGTTCCTCAGGGCCAAACAGCAGCCCACCCCTCAGAAGCAGATACTGACTTCATATTTTTAAAGACATCTTCCACTAATCTGAAAGCTGGGAGGTAGATCTCAAGCAAACAAAGCAAAACACATTGGTTGTGCTTGCACGTCACACTAAACCATGGTTTTAGTGAGACGCATAAATTGTAGCAATATTCAACGCTTGTTCATTCCCTGCCACTCCAATACACACTTCTCCCCCTGTATAGCCAGGAGGAGGATTTCAACAGCTTTTACATTTGGTTTCCCATAAATGTGGCTTGTCATTTCATCTGTACTGGAGATCGTGGGTTACACTAACTAGGTTTTCTTGAAACAAGTCAGCTCCATAAACCATGGTCTGAAGTTGGCTTGTTTTAAAACTGATCATGGTGTGAAACCATGCTCATCAGTTCAAATGAAACAAACAGATGCATTTAAGGGCAATGGAAAATAAAAGCTCCCCAAGTCCTTCTCCTGACCATGTAGAAAGAGAAGGAATGGGGAGCACAGGAGCCTGAGGCTCACTGTGTCCTCTGCACATTACACAAAACCATGGTTTGGCATGATGCACCAACACAGTCATTTTCTCACCACATCCACTAGGGTGCCACATGAAGTGAATAGGACTCATTGTTTGCTTAATACCTTGGTTCAATCTAGCTGGCCTACCTCTCCACACACTCCATCAGTGTAGAAATGCATGTATCCCGTTAGATTTTATGTTTTGTCTCCCCAACTATTCCCTACTTTCATTATTTCTTGCTCTTAAGTTTGCAGGCCTTCGGGACAGTAATCAGGGACACGGTTATGAGCCTGAGTCCTTGGATTGGGTGGGGCAACTTCAAAATCTTTAAAGCATTTTAATTGTGCATTACTTATGTACATTGGGATTCCATGCTCTCAAAAGAGGCAACAGGACATAGCAATTAAGTGCTGCAATATATAAATTAAGCATCAGGATCCCAGTTCAGAAAAGCACAATAAACTTGACTGTAGAAGAAAGAGGGACAAAAAGCATTTCTGTCTGGAGTTGCTATGCAATATGAACCCCGCTTTTCTTTTAAGGGAGTGGAGGTTTGCATTCCACTGTTTCCATTAAGCAAATTGCTGAAAATATTTTTGGCTGCTGAAGGGCTTCTAGAGCAGCTGCAGTGGAAACAATCTCCTCACCCCCACCACAGGTGTGGCAAAGCTCAGTGAAATCCACATTATTAGGGTAGTTGGAAGATGGGTCCATCAAATCAGATATTTGTTTTGTTTTTCAATTATGGACCCTATTTTTCCTCCCCTCCTGATACTGTCATATGCATAGGCTTCCTTAATCAATATCTTTCAACGCTCCTCTCTTTTCAGGAAATTGATTGGCTAAAGGTAAGATATTCTACCTATGCTTTCAAGTAATATTTCATTTTGGAATGTTTTTATGGGAAAGGGCTGTAGCTCAGAGGTAGAGCATCTGTCTTGCAAGCAGGAGGTCCCACATTCAACCCTGGCATCTCCAGCTAAGCTTGGGAGAGACTCCTGTCTGAAATCCTGGAGAGCCACTGCCAGTCACTGCCAACCACACTGAGCTAGATGGGTCTGACTCAGTATAAGGCTACTTCCTTTGTTCCTGTGCCATGCTCCAGCCATGCCTTCATAACCGTGAAGCTATTATTGATGGCACCAACTTAACTATGGAGCTTGGCCATGGACACATGTAAGGGGGTCAGTTTGCAAACTCCTGGTTCCAGGAGGACCACTGTCTGGTCTGGAGGATAAATGTTGGCCAACACTGACTTAGGTCAACTAAGGCTTATTGACTGAAGCAAATATTGTTCTGTGTGAGACGACCAGAGAGATGGTTTTACTGAACTATACCTTGAATTATAAATGGAGGCAGTGAGAGATTTTACTTTCTCGGGCTCCATGATCACTGCAGATGGTGATAGCAGTCACGAAATTAAAAGACGCCTGCTTCTTGGGAGGAAAGCAATGACAAACCTAGACAGCATCTTAAAAAGCAGAGACATCACCTTGCCAACAAAGGTCCGTATAGTTAAAGCTATGGTTTTCCCAGTAGTGATGTATGGAAGTGAGAGCTGGACCATAAAGAAGGCTGATCGCCGAAGAATTGATGCTTTTGAATTATGGTGCTGGAGGAGACTCTTGAGAGTCCCATGGACTGCAAGAAGATCAAACCTATCCATTCTTAAGGAAATCAGCCCTGAGTGCTCACTGGAAGGACAGATCGTGAAGCTGAGGCTCCAATACTTTGGCCACCTCATGAGTAGAGAAGACACCCTGGAAAAGACCCTGATGTTGGGAAAGATGGAGGGCACAAGGAGAAGGGGGACAACAGAGGACGAGGTGGTTGGATAGTGTTCTCGAATCTACCAGCATGAGTTTGACCAAACTGTGGGAGGCAGTGGAAGACAGGAGTGCCTGGTGTGCTCTGGTCCATGGGGTCACGAAGAGTCGGACACGACTAAACAACAACAACAACACCTTGAATTATGCCATAGTAAATTAATAGGTAAAGGCTAAAGGCACTGGGGTAGCTGGAATCAAGAAAGTCAGGAACTAGCAGATCTCAAGCTCCCATCATTGCAGTTTCTCCCACCTCACTAGCGCCCTCTACTGGGTATCTGTATAATTTCCTGCAGCACAAACTTGTTGGCATCTATCGTCTCAAGAGACAAAGGAGTGAGCCTCCAGGGATGAAGTCAAACCACTGTGTTAGCATCTCTCTGGGGCACAAGCCTAGGAGGTGTGTATGGAGGTCCTGGGTGGCCCAGACAACAAGTCTTCCCTCTGGCCTTGGTGATATGGTCCAAAGGAAAGCAGAACAATACATTTGGCAGCAGCCCGGCTGCAAGATTTGCCAGAAAGAGGCATACAAGACGCCATCCAACCGTCTTAGGGACTCCACTCCACTCCAGATTTGTGTAGGGTTTACTCCTGAAAATATCCCACAAGGCAGCAGACGTTTAGGACCAGAGTTTTCCTTCTCTTAGATGCGCCACCTTCCCCGGTTGAAAAGCCCTTCACTTCCTTCTATAGCATGTGCGGAAACCACCTTCTTGACTGTTGGACCCATTATTGGTCACATCTGCTTAATCTGCCGGAGCCTGTCTTTGCACGCAGGGGAAGTCACTAACTCACTGAGGGGTTGAGACTCATCAGCTACCCTCACCTGGTTTAGTTGACCAGCCAAAGCCACTCCCAGGCTGGGGATGCTGTCACATGCTGACAGCTTCTAGGAACCACTGGTGAGAGCTGAGTGCAGGGTGGTGACCAAAGGTGGACAAACTACCCCAGAAGGAACATGACATGTCCCCCACCAGAAGTACTACCTGCTCCCCTAACATCCTATACAACTATGGAGGCACAAATCACACAGACAAAGCATCTACCACAGGTCTCAAGCACTGGACTGAGACAGGTGTCAAAGCTTGCTTCACGTGATATTCTCTCCCACACCCAATGGTATATTCTGGAGTGGGGAAACCTCAGTGAATTGGAAGGAGGCACTCATAGTAAAGGTAAAGGTAAAGGGACCCCTGACCATTAGGTCCAGTCGTGACTGACTCTGGGGTTGCGGCACTCATCTCGCTTTATTGGCCGAGGGAGCCGGCGTACAGCTTCCAGGTCATGTGGCCAGCATGACTAAGCTGCTTCTGGAGAACCAGAGCAGCGCACGGAAACGCCGTTTACCTTCCTGCCGGAGTGGTACCTATTTATCTACTTGCACTTTGACGTGCTTTCGAACTGCTAGGTTGGCAGGAGCAGGGACCGAGCAATGGGAGCTCACCCCGTTGTGCGGATTCGAACCACTGACCTTCTGATCGGCAAGTCCTAGGCTCTGTGGTTTAACCCACAGCGCCACCCGCGTCCCTCCAAATATCATAGTATTTGCTACTAATTTAAATTTGAGACGAGGTTCAGCAAAAGCTTCCACATAAGTTATACTGGGCTCCTGTGGTATGTTTTAATAAAGAGTAGATTACTATGAAACCATGTCAAAGATGTAGGAGACCAAACTCCACTTTGCAACAAGAAGGACCATTTTGGATTTCCATCCACAACAACATATTATATTGAACTCTATTAACAATGTAGTAGATGCCAACTTGTACTGACCAAAAGTGGTCATATTTCAAACTTGAACCTTTTAAGGGAATTCACTTAAGGCAGGCATGGTCAAACTTGGCCCTCCAGCTGTTTTGGGACTACAATTCCCATCATCCCTAACCACTGGTCCTGTTAGCTAGGGATGATGGGAGTTGCGGTCCCAAAACAGCTGAAGGGCCAAGTTTGGCCATGCCTGATTAAGGGAAAGCTAGGATGAGTAAGAAACGGGAGAGCCGCTGTAGTAGCAGCTATTGTTAATCAAGTCAAAATGATTCTGGGTGTGAAAGAACTTTGCGACAAAAGCTGAGTGCTTTTAAAATTATACACATAATTAGTGGGTGCAAGTGGAAAATAGAAGGCGCAGTGGAATAGCCTGTTGGGAATTAAAGGGCACAGACGAGCTGAGACCAATTACTGCTTCTTTCCAGACATGGGACAACTATCTGCACTCATTCTGGCCCTACACAGTCAAACCTGAAGCACATACAGATGCATGGTTTACAGTTGACACATCTGTTGGGTAGCCAAAAAGAACTACTTACGTGGTCAAAATACAGGTTTGTGCAAGCCCTGAGGAGTCAGACTCTAGAGAGATATCCAGATGTTAACAGAAATGGAGTCAAAAGCCATGCCAAAGCAAGACTTGGTGATGCGTACTCAAACTCACCTTTTGAAGTGATTTGCCAGGACTCCAATCAACTCTCCGATCTTGCTCTCATTGACTGGATGCATGCTGAGGAGGCACACAATTAGGTCCTTGTTGTCCTTTGTGTGGAAAACTGCAAGCTGGTCTTTTCCATTGGAGACACTCAATCCCGTCAGCTGAGCGAAGAAAGAAGGGAAACGTTAAGGTTCACCAAGTTCCATGCCTTCGTGGATGCTTTGCAGTAGTCATAGAAAATTAGATTACAAATACAGACACCTTCCCCCTACCACCCGTTTCTGGAATGACAGCCATGTCTGATTAACCAGACTTTAACAGGGCAAGTGCCTGGCTTTTGCCTCTCAAGTGACCTCAAAGCAGAAATAACACAGGGACACAGGTACATTTACTACGAGCAGCACACTATATGTTTTGACATTAGTATTTCAAATATGACTTTGTATAATATAGAAGTGCCTACAGACAGCTGAGCAATTGAACAGAACATTAAAAGCAAGGCATACATTAAATTTCACAGTAGCACCTCAAGTACCGTATTTTTCGCTCTATAAAACGCACCAGACCATAAGACACACCTAGTTTTTGGAGGAGGAAAACAAGAAAAAAAATATTCTGAATCTCAGAAGCCAGAACAGCAAGAGGGATTGCTGTGCAGTGAAAGCAGGAATCCCTCTTGCTGTTCTGGCTTCTGTGATAGCTGCGCAGCCTGTACTCGCTCCATAAGACGCACGCACATTTCCCCTTACTTTTTAGGGGAAGGGGCTCCATTTCTCCTGCCGCTTCGCTGAAGGGGCGCTGAGCAGAGAGGGGGAGAATTTTTTCCCCTTGTTCTCCCCCTCTAAAACAAGGTTCGTCCTATTGTTGGGTGCGTCCTATAGAGCGAAAAATACGGTATTCTGAACACAGTATGGAGACCTTTTTTTGTAGCAGAACAGTACACACATCCCAGACTATATACTGCAGCTGTACAGCCTTGGGGTAGGGATGGGTGAAATCTGCCCATTTTGGTTTCTCTCCATTTCTCATTTTCCATTCTTCAGTTCTGTCCATCCTGTTTCTGCATTGGCACATGAAAATTCATATAAAATTGCGTGCATATACTCTTCTGATGTATCCATTTTTGAAGCATTTCCCCCTGAAATCTTACATTTCTGTATACATCTTTTTACTAATGCAGACATTTTCTATGCTCTTTTGATTGGAGATCCGCATTGCAAAATCTAGGTAAGTGTCAACTCCAAAGGATAACTACATTTCAGTGCGTGTCTTGGTTCAGTAAGTGCAAATTAATCCTCCTCCCATCGCTATTCATTTTTTAAAAGAGGCATATGTGTTTTATTAAAAAAATACTAACGAGTTAAAAGGTTTGTGCAAATGTAGCAATAAATCAGGTGAGACAGAACAAAGATTGAAATATCTGCGCATGCTACCATACAATGGCTCTCTTGATAATAACAAAGAGGTTGCTGATTGACCAAGTATTGGTGATGGGGCTTTGATTCTGCTTACAGTGCATTTCTGCTAATCAGACCCGTAGAAAAAGCCAATACATTTCTATATTCTGGATTGTGTTTGGCACACACAAGCTTTTGTCTAATAATCAGGGATTAAATTAAGCAAAGGTTTGAAAGAGCTTTGCCCCAGAATTTTTATTTACATACACATACATACATACATACATAATACACACACATACATATAATATAGTGTATTAGAGAGTATAA